TCCTAGACAGACATGGTGACAATTTAATAGGAGACTGTGATTCACCATCACACGCATCTCAGAAGGAGCAAAGCAGGGTATGGATCATAAAAACAGCACCCATCTTGCTACGGAGACATACCCATGAATGTGCTTGTGTGCCGGAAGGCACGGACCTGTGAGTCGGACATGCCGGTCAACAACGCCAGTATTGAGGAGAAGAGGTACTCGTCGTACAGAAGGCTGTTCTGACAGCGTTTCACTAACAGATGAAGGAACTCGCACAGGCTGGCACGGAACCGACGCCATGCTGGGCCGGGGGATGACAGGGGGTACCTGGTCGAATCCTGGTGGGGTCACAGACCAAGGGAGTACTGAAAACTTAGCTACAATGCACATCACGTTATCTCCTAGACCTGATCCAAAATACTATTTCCAAATCAAACACAGGATGGAGCCAATTTGCTGTTTGTCTGGACACTCCTCGATTTGTCCTTTAACACACCCACTTTTACCTCATTGAACTCTTTAGTCAGCCTGCTGATAATCTCAGCGTTCTGCATGCTGTTCAGCATCTCCCTGGTGACCACCCCTGAAATGTAAACACATACATCAGTCTGATGGCACTCAGGGCACACAGAAACCTACCATTAATCTAAATCATCACCCAAGGTGCCTGCAGAATGGTACATCTGAAAAGCAGGCAAAGCACACAGCCAGGTCAGCAAACAGCATCTTTAATTTTTACCATCACCACTGAACAAGGATTATGTTAAACCCTTGACAATCCTCCCACTCAACTTCCAAAATACCAAATTGGAGAAGTCAGGCCTTGTATGGCTTGAAAGAAATGAATTAATCCTGAAGACATACAATATAGATAACCCATCTGCTCATTTCATCGTTATCTTTCAGACTCTGTCTCGCAAACGAAATCCCCTTTCAACGTGTGGTGTCCCACATCCTGCCCTCCTCCTGCCCCCCACCCATCCAGGGGCCGTGCCACTCCCCGCACATAAATCAACCCGCTGCCATCTCACTAAGCAGCTGAGCCTTCACCATCTGTAGCTACCACCGCGCACATACTTCTGTACTGACCTTGCCTCCACATAAATAATCAATTATTTATTCTCTGCTCTATTATTCATTTGATTACCATAGCATCTTAGCGAGACCAATTCTTCTTGTTATTTTATTTATGTAGATAGGTACATAAATGCAATTTAGGAAGTGCATCTCACCCAACTGCAGCCTCTTTTATTGGAAGTTTAACCCACAACTTTCTGGTCACATATACTCATACCTGATCACCTTCCGGTGTCCACACCCACAACTGCCAACCAGGCAAACATATTTCACCACTGGGTATGTCAAGTTGCATCGATGCATCATGATGAATCAGTTATTGACTATTCAATGCATCAATCTGTAAAGTCAGAATTCCAGGCTGTGAATTCTCGTGCAGCAGTGCTGGCACGCAAATTTCCGAAACATAGGATGGCAGGGGAAGGCTCATTAATATTCATAAAGGAATCACAACTTGATTTTTCAGATATGATGCTTTTGGGAAACATGTGCCTATGTTGTGGTGCAAAGTGCTCTTCCAAAGGTTAACATAATCTTGGCCCTACAATGCTTTTGGGAAAGCCCTCTGTTTTGCAGCACAAAAATGTTGATCTTTTTAAAATCTATAGAAGCAATAGTCAAAACCCTGAGGTAGCCAACTAGCTAGCTACATAGAGTAGTATTGATATACAGATGTACAACATATTGGTTAACATATCAGTACCTGCCAATATTTGTTAAAAATCAAGATATTGTCCAAGGTGTCAATCTTGATTGATATTTACACTTCATCAATTTTCAAAGTTATGGAAGATTTTATAGGACTTTATTATTTGTAACCCACTGAATACAATACACAAATATGTACCGTAATCCACAAATATTTCACATGCTATTTCATATGTATTTTTTTTCAATTTGAGTTGTGTAAAATACTTATATATTCAGATGAAGCATGATTATGTATTACCATACCAACTCAAAAATTGAGAGAGATAGAATGATGATTTCTGTGGCACAAACACAGCACTAAAGAAGCAGAGAGGTTTCACATCTGTGCACTGTAGTAGGGGGGGCTGCATGACAACATTGTCTGGGAAAAATTTTTGATATTTCAATTTCTAATCAAACACTGGATTTTTTTATTTACACTCATGGTAGCAAGGCCATTTCATGAAGCTTAGCTATCAACTCTTATTTTAGCCTTCTTCCTGATAACTGCACCTCATATATGTGGATATTTTTACAGATCAGCTGTGGTGCAAATTGGACAAAAATCCACAAATGAATAGGAGTGAAGTCACAAATGTCATGTGATACACAAATACACAGGAAGTGATCCACAAATGTGCAAAACACGTTTCATGTGTACACGTAGCTCCATATTTATGTGGATATGATTTTGCACAACACAAATTTAAAATATATCTATTTGTGGATTGTCTTCTGTGGGTTACAAATAATAAAGTCCATACAAAGTTAGCAGAACCACAGATAAAGACACATAAGGCAGTACTCCTTTAAATGTGTTTCATTTTTTCTGTACAGTTCAGTGGTTGGTCTTTTTACAATTTTACATTGGTGTCTCTGAAAAAGGTTTGAATATAGCTTATCAAAATAATTGATTATCTGAATCATTATGGAATTGCATCAAACCATTCCTTCAATAATTGTATCAAATCCTTGGTGCCAATGATTTACACTGCACTTCAGTGTACATAACAAGGTATCTGACTGACTGAGTAACACTTCCCAAGTGCACAATAGTGTTCTCATGCTATGAGGCTAGCAGCAGTTAGCCACTCCTCCATGTTGCAGTTTGTGATCATGTGACCCCTGCACCCTCCTGTGGTCATCTCTGACCTCTGCAGCCACAGCACTGCATGATGAAGTTCATAAGCTCCACAAGTCCCGCTTCCCTGTCCTTTTTGTAGCTCTCTAGCCATTCATCCACCACCGTCTGGAAGGAAGAAGAGCAGTACCCTGATCAAAACCTATGATTACTCAAAATACCATTTCACCTTAAAACTTTCCCATCAGCCTTCACTGAATGCCTGTTCTGTATTGTCTAATGTTCAACAATAAAAACTGTGTTAAAGGTAAGCTATTATTTGGACGATTTATTCCTCTAGGTGTAAGTAGGGTGACATTTTAGACTAAGTTTTGACAAGCAGGAAATTCTGAGTAATGTGGGGAATCCCAGACGACCTGTGTGTACCCAGCCTTCCTGCCAAACCTCTCACTGCTCTTTCAGTTCACACTGCACTTTCATACTGTGCTCATCCATACTACTCTCAGACCCACTCACCACCACGGCGCTGCGACCGGACTGCACAGCCTCGTACAGGTATCCTGTGTGCACCGCACTCCTGTGCAGATGTTGCACTTGGCTGACAGCACTTATGTTCCCAACTGGAGTGGAAGTCTTTTGGATGCCAGGGAATCGTCTAGTGACCATTCGTACGGGCTGCTTACGGGGCTAAAGACCAGAACGATAGGAGGGGGACACTTATCAAACCACCTTCTCTCTAAAAATGATTTAATCCTCGACAAGTTAATGTAAATTAAGGACAAAAGTGGCATAAGTGAAACATATATTCTGCTTAGGAAAAAACTTCACAAGCTCAGATATACCTCAGCACATGTTCTTTACTGAAGTGGGACAAAGACAATGCTATGATTTATAATTAAATAACGGTGGTTATTTGTTACTGTTGGAGGATGGGCGGGCCTACCGGTGCTCCTATAGCCACTGATCTGGCTCCCCGTTTTCTCGCCCGGATCCGGTCCTTGAAGTCGCTCCCTGAATCGGAGAGATCGCTGAACTCCTCCGAACTGGGAGGGGGCAGCAACACGTTGAGATGGTTATGCAACTTGGAATGACACGTATCTGTTCGGTCATGAGCACCTTAATTACACCTATACAGCAATACTGATCAAAGTATCCAAATGCCAAAGTTAGTACCTGTTGTAGTCCATCTCTGCTGATCGACTCATCCACAATCTTTTCAGCTACTGAATTTGGCAACGAAAACTCAGATCTGAGAAGTCATAATACAGATGACGGACAGATCATTATTAACCATATACCATTTATATTTAAGCTTATGCAAACTGCGAGACTTCAAAATCAGAATTACTGCTTTGGTCAAACTACACTTGTGGTGTATGTGTACACACACACATAAGATTAAAATAAAAGGAGGGGGGATTTTTAAATAGAAAAAACTGTTAATTTGTTGACCTCTGACCTGTTTGGTAATTGGTTGAAATGGGGTGATATATAGGGTTGCCCGCCAACAGAAAAGACGAGAATAACGGGGTGCCGAGAAGAGAGAACTAGTTTAATTGTTACATCTGTCCTCTGTCTAGCGTATTGCAAAACTAATAAAAGGAACCTGTTTGTTCGAACCTTGGCTCTGGGAATTAATTCTCATATAGGAAAGTGCAAGACACAACAACACTAAACACACAATTATGGAAAAAGACGAAGGGAAATAATGATTGAGGAGCCTATCCCGCAAGATGAAATAGGCAGATTTATGATCTAAGTTAGTGAACTATCATTATATTAAATAAAGCATAAATGACCTTTCTTGAGTTACCTTTGGATATTACTCCGTGCAGACTGCGGTCTGTATCACAATCACAAATAATTATAGAACTGGAACGGTTTTCTACTTTTCCTCAGAATGAACAGACACCACCCAGGAGTTTACAATTTAGGCGCGAAAAACTACACCAGTAAAACAGTTATTACTGTAATTGGCTCTTCGCCAGTCTTCAGCTCGATAAGGATTAGACAGTGGTTGGCCCTTCGTTAGCTGCCATCTCGATAAGGATTGGACAACGATTAGCTCTTCGTTAGCTGCCGTCTCGGTAAGGATTGGACAATGATTGGCTCTTCGTTAGCTGCCATCTCGGTAAGGATTGGACAGTGATTGGCTCTTCTTTAGCTATCGTAAGATATCTCTAATGATGGAGATAAGCAAAGTGAAGCATACTTTTAAAATTTTAGTACTTTTCTTTAGAAAAGCAGAACATACTTTTCGTTGAATTATGTTGTTTTCATGAAGAAAAATGTAAGGTTGGTATGCGCTAAATGTAAGATACATTAACCAAAAATGTCATGTATTGGGGCTAAAAGACATTAAAATATATAGTTTACATACCATGTGGTATCAAATGACATTTTCAACACTTATCGCTAGTATTTATTCTCCACATATCGAATACATAGCCCTTAAGCTGCAAGGTACCAACACTGAACGAAACATCATAAAGCAGTAACTTCTGTAATAATGTAATTATGGCAAAAAAAATAAAAATAATTGAAGCTTCTGAAGACGGTCGTGCTATATCATATATTTCTTGCTTACCCTTTAGCCTAATTATTTTAGTGTGAAATGATTGTGCAGACAATCATTTAGAGATACATCCGGCCCCACCTTCTGCCCTTAGCTCTCTGTCTCCTCCCTAGATCGATTCTGGTGTGGATTTCAGTTGTGATCGAAGGCCTGAGGGAACGACACGGCAATGTTGCAGCTGTTTTTCACAGAGACCTTATATATCCTAACCTGGAAAATTAAAGTTATTGACAGTCTCCACAGAGCAGAGATAATTTAAAACAATTAATCTCATAACGTTATTTTGGAGATCTTATTTAAACTGATCCGTAAATACAGCCAATGTATATTGATAAGGGGTGGTTATTTCAAGGCCAAGCAATCATTTCATGATCATAAATAATATACTTACTTTAATTATTGCAAAACGGTCTATGAATTATTACAGCGGGGCATTCAATTGCTTGCTTGTTCCATAGACTCGTGCCACGCTGAATTGTAATTCATTGATGTTCCTCATGAATGAAGCTTTGTGGTATATAGTGTTTTATATAGGTTAAAATGTAGAAACAGATTGCATTCTTAGTGTGGAAACAAAACAAAAGGGTCGTTGCCTGTGGATGGATTGGGCTGAGTGTGAGCGTCTGAAGGGCAACTATAACGAATCAGGGGGCGGCGGCAACTTTAGGACCTGGAGGAGCTGACTCGATCCTACTTCCACACCTCACCCTTCAGGGTTTTCGTGGTGCGGGCTCATTGTTCCGAGGTAGGTCTCCCCATTGGAAAGCCAGAGGGAACAGCGGCCGCATACATCAGAGACGCGATCGCTGTTTCATTCAGTCACATGGCTATATGCAATATTTTGTAACAAAGAAACCAACTGGAAATAATAACATTATATATGCATCGGGGTAAAAGTCTTTTTAATAGAAGGCATTTAAAGAAAGGGGATGAAATTGCACGAAGAATATACTGAAAACTAATCATCATTGATTTATTACTCATTTAAGCACTTTGCTTCCTTCAGACTTGAAGTAAGACTCGTTCCTTCTCTCGGTTGTATCTGATAAGCGGCTGTTTTGAAACTGAGAATCCGCTTCGCAGCCGCTTCGGATTGCCAGGCGAGAATGATTCGCCGACTGTCCCTCGCATGGACCCCGATCGTGTGGCTTTGTGTGTTTGGTCCGCTGGAAACTGACTGCAGAGCCGCATCGGCGGGACGGAGTTGCGGTGAGAGTCGGCAGGTCTACGCAGACAAGGGGTACAGTCTGAACACGGCGCCGCTGACACAGATCTCGGGTAAGACTGACAAGGACTAGGATAAACATGTAATAAACAAATAACTGCACAGATGATCTCTTGATTATGTGCAGCTTTACCATTATCCTGAAAGAAATGAACGCTCAGTTGGTGTAGCGGAACGCTTGTGTCTCCAACGGTGACTTTTAAACAAAGCGGCACTGTGGAAGCGGTGATTTCTTTGTGTCGTTCGTCTGGATGTCAGCTTACTTACTGTCTCCGAGCTCAGCCCACATATCTGCTATGACAGAAACTTACCCGTGATTATGGATTTAGTGTGATTTTTAAGCATTATTTTATGTATGGCAAGGATAAAAAGTACAGGTGAAATACCTTTCTTTGTCTGCACAATAAAGATTAGATCATGCAACCTGGCCACTCACCTGCACTAACAGAAAAGGGTAGAGTGTTTTCATGGCTGTATGTCATTTGCAGTGTTCGTTTAATTGTTAAACGGGCAGATCGTTTTGTAAGCATAGAAAAAAACCCTGGGTGATCTAAACACTGGTAGCCACTGATGGATATTTTATTTTCTTCCATAAGGTTTCAGCATATCTATTTGGGCCCCTATACATGTGCATGAGAGTATGCATTTCTCAACATCTGAAATATATGTACATCAGGGGAGGCCAAAGAGACCATGTCTTGTGTATTTGAGACAAGCTTAGGTGGATGTCAGGTGTGTGGGTGACTGAATGTTTCCATCACTGTGTTTTTGTGTGCATTGGTGTTCAAACATTGGCAGTGTGTCCCGTGGGCCAGGGCAGCAGATGGCTGCGAGAGAGGGATGATGAAGAGTTTAGAAATGGAAATGGAGAGGGGGATGATTCAGAGGGAGAAAAGGACAAAGGGAAGAGGGGAAATGGGAAGGAGGCCAGGGTTTTGGATGACAGTACATAGCTGCTGAAAATAAATATATTAAAAATAATACAAATGACCAAAAAACAACATATCAAACAGTATATACTTAGTGCATATGTATGTGTTGATTGAGGTATATCACATGTTAAGTTTACATATAATATAAGGGGGATCCTGCAGTGGTTTTGTAATTGAAGTTATTGGGATTAGATATTTCCAGTTGCAAGTATTTTCACCTGCAGTTTTTCTGGGACATATTTTTTTAATTCAGAAAAAAATGGATATGAATATTAAGGATTCATTAGAGTTCTTTATGAAACCAATGGTATTGTTTAACTTTAATTTCATTGTCTTGCATACATTATTATCACAAGCACTTTATATCTTTTATCCATTAAAACAGATGTTCATGCTAAGCATACAATTGAAGGGGACCAAACGCTTCTATTCCTGGGACAATATAACTAATGGTGTTTTAATCACATGATGAATCTACTGTCCCAAGATTAAAATGCTTTAACCACAGTTATCTACTTACCACTTTGAACTGGTATGATCTGTAAATGTTTTTGGTCCCTTTCAAATTCTCATTGATGGCCTGTTGTTTACCTATAGTGAGTAGAAAACAAACACACAGCATCCTTTTTGTCACCAGGCATTGATTGCTTTTTAATTCTGATTTTCTATTGGTTGACACAGTTGTCATTCAGTACTGATATTGTCTGCATGATCACTTGTTAGTCTAGTCCCGGAGAGGTCTTTTTCTGCTGAGATGAGGTTCAACACATTTGTGTCAATGTTCTTGTTTGGGATAAACCTAGTTTCCTGTGACTGGCTGGAGTCTGAGCGCTCATTTCTATGATTGGTGTAGGGGAGCACCTGCGCCTCTGTCCCCAGGACTACACATGCTGCTCCAGCGTGATGGAGGAGGTGCTTGCTCGGCAGAGTGAGAGTGACTTCCTGAAGGCCATTGATGACACCAGCCAGTTCCTACTCACCACCTTCATGCAGAGACATCGCAAGTTTGATGGTGGGTGACCTGAAGATGATTGTGCCTTTAAGGGTGTGAGGGAGAATGATGCCTCTGCAAAATGCTGTAATCATACATTTTGTTTTACCAAAACTCAGGTATAACACCTCTACACCTCTATTGAAATAATTTACATGCAAGTTGGAATTTCTTTTAAGCATTTTCTTGGGTAAATTGTATTTTTTTTTTTGTATTTGTTAGCATTGTATACAATCAGTTTACAGTCTGGACTATACAAATTCACATCAAATTATCAGCTGCTGTACCGAAACCATTGCCTTCATTGTCTTCCTGATATGGGAATAGTTTCTTTATTTTTCATATTTTCCTATCGCAGAGTTCTTCCGGGAGCTCATTGACCTGGCAGAGAAGTCCATGAATCAGATGTTCACCAAAACCTACGGAAAACTGTACACCCAGAATGCCCGTGTCTTCCACGACCTTTTTGCTGAGCTCCGTCGATACTACACTGGTCAGGACCCAGTGGTTACATGGTCATCCATCCATCCATTTATTTTTAGACTGTGTAGCTGAACTGCAAACTGTAAACAGAAGCAATTGAGACAAACTCTGTGTTATGTTGTGACTTTTGAATGTAAGGCAAATGTCCTGTTTGAATATATGTAATAATTCCCTCTTTGTGCCTGCAGGTGGCAGTGTGAGCCTTGGGGAAGTTCTGGCAGAGTTCTGGTCCCGGCTGGTGGAGAGGGTCTTCTCTCTGGTGAACCCCCAGTATCAGTTCAGTGAGGAGTACCTGGAGTGTGTCAGCAAGCATGCAGAGCAACTGCAGCCATTCGGGGACCTTCCTCGCAAACTGCGAATACAGGTGAGAATGATAACATGTAAACCTAAGGCAGGTAAGCAGAGCTAAGGATAGAGCGGCACCAGGTAAGCAGAGCTAAGGATATAATATTTATTATTCGGTGGAAATTAAACTTATCAGTCAGGTGTCTTAAAGAAGCAGCTTGTTTGCTGACAAAAGGGCAAGTCAATTTTGAATATGCAAAGGAACCATAGTCATACATGCTGCAGAGAAGCTATATATGAACCATAATATTTTTTGTGGAGAATAGAGAGGGCAATATTACAGTGTACTTCAGTATTTTGACGCCCCCCAGTTCAAAATACCAAATACCATACCGAATTAGATATTGCCAAACCCTATGGTGTTTTTTCTTTCATGGGATTCTCCAATGTATAATAGATATGATAGTAACTAAATATATGACAGGTATGATATGAACTAAATTTACGTTTTGGAATGGTACCTTGAAACTGATTTTAATTGAATTATTAGTAGGATGTAGTGGTATGTGTGTGACTGCGTGTGTGTGTGTGTGTTAAGTACATATTACATTGTGGGGACCACATGTCATTTTGAACTTTGTGGGTACCATTTTTTTGGTTCCCATAAGGGGAAACTCAATTTTAGAAAAACCTGTGACTGCAATCAAAAAACTTGTATTTTGTTTGGTTACTTATGGTTAAGGTTAGGGCTAGGTAGAGGTTAAGGTTGTTATTGTTGGAATTAGGGTTTTTCCCATAGAAATTAATGGATGGACCCTACAAAGATATGAATGCAAACATGTATGTGTGTGTGGGAGAGAGCAACATTGACTGCTAAATGCCAATTAACTAGCTTGCCAAAAACGCTAGATGACTTACTTTAACCTTGCTAGCAAAAGTAAGCCTACCAGATAGAAAACAGAATTTTTTTTAAATCCATGCAAGGGAGAACGAGTAAACACAGCATGAACCAGGAAAAAGAAATGTGTATCTATGCAAAGCAAATCAGCTATTTAAGCACAACATAATACAGCACACAACAGAACAGAGTTTACACATGTAATGCAGGTCAAACACTAAAATATCACTCTTTGTCTGGGAAACTTTCCCCTTCTCATGTGCATGAGTGACTGGTTTAGGTCATGAAGAATATCATGCAGTTAATGGTTATGTGGGAGGAACAGTATGTGTAGCAGTCAGTGATATCATTGCTTCCCTGAAATCCAATGATAAAATGGAAAGAAATGTTGAAGATAGAAACGGATATTAATCAGCAATGATCGGATGACAATTGGTTTCAGAAAGAACACATTATTAGTACCAGATTCTCATTTCAACTGGATACTCATCTCACCACTAATTGATATAACAGTTGGATAGGATTCTAAAATTCACAGGAGAAATTACAAGCTTAGCATGAGAGCATGAGATTGGTCTGACAGTCAATGTGGGAGAGTTGGCAGCCCTGCAAGGAATACAAATATGATACATTTGTGTTAAAAAATGGGGTGTTGACCCTGAATTTCTGATTGTTAATTTCTGTATAAATGGTAGGTAAAATGGGACCTGATCTAAGTCAAAATACATACAGTTATATTTCACAAACAGCACACACAATTTGACTTGGCATATCTTTATTAGTAGATTAAACAATCAAGGGCATTGATGGGAAAAGTATATAAACCCCACTGGATAGTGACCTTTCAAAGAGGGTAGCTGGATTAAGGTGTTCCAGTCAATTTGAGTATGAATGTGACTTGCCCACTCTTTTGTGTTTACCTGTTCTTCGTGAGAGAAGACTGTCAATTAAAAGACATCTCAGAGGGCCTGAGCAGTTTCTGATGCACTTAAGAGCAGTGGTTTTCTTCACATCTTTCTCCCATAAACACCAGTCTTGTTTAGTGATTTTCTTTTTATAAACTCATCAACATGGATGTTAGGTAGTGTAAGGGTTGCCTGCAGATCTGTAGTGGTCACTCTAGGGTTTTTTGTCACTTGCTTGATTGTACATTTTGCCCTTGCAGTAATCTTTGCAGGATACCTATTATTAGGCAGAGTAGCAATAGTTTTGTAAACTCTCTGCTTGACTGTAGACTGATGAAAGCCCAAGTTTTAAAAAAAACTTTTCATAACCCTTCCTTGTGTTATGAGCCTCAACAACTTTTCTGACATTAGTTTTCATCCGTGCATATTTCAGTTCTAACAGCTTTCTTTTAGGAAGAACCAAATCTAATAATGGCCAGACTTTGTGGATCTTGGAGGGGATGGCAGGGCACCTAAAACCCATTGTACAGTGCCTGACAAAAGTCTTGTCACATAAGGACATAGTAACTTAAAAAGGCATATAACTTTATTTTTAATCAATCAATTGTTACAATGAATGGATCAATTTAATGCCAAGGG